GTGGGGTAAGCTTAGTAAATCCATAGATTCTGGGGTTGGGTTTTAAAGACTTGAAAACTTTCAATGAAGCCTTACTAGTCAAGCAGCTCTGGAGGCTTTTAACCAAGCCTAATCTGCTGGTCAGCAGGATCCTCAAAGGAGAGTACTAAGGAAACTTATGGATGTTCATCCTAAGGGTAGTGACTCTTGGCTTTGGAAAAGTTGGTTGAAGTCTAGACGTTCTCTTAGTTTCGGTGCTAGATTTGGGGCAGGGGATGGGGCTTCAATTAATGTCTGGTATTCACCTTGGATCCCAAACATTATGTTTTTAAATCTCCTTGGTGCTAGATTTGGGGCAGGGGATAGTGCTAGAATTTTTAGAGTAAGTGATCTGATTAAGGTATGAGAGAGAAGAGAGTGGATTTGAGCTAATTTTTTAGACTTTTGAGCCTGATTGCAGATCTCATCATTAATATCCCTCATTCATCTCATGATAAGAAGGATAAGTTAATCTGGAATGAGAGTGAGGGTTTTATTCTCCACCAAGGAAGCTTCATCATGGCTGCTCAGTTGAAGGAAAAAAACCAGGCTAGCTTAAGTCAAAATGGTGCTTGTGGTAAAAGGATGTGGAGGAGAACATGGAAGCTACCCATTAAGGGGAAGATCAGGACTTAACTTGGAAGCTACCCATTAAAGGGAAGATTAGGACTTTTTTATGGAGATGCTGGTTTGAGTTCATTAGCTCCAAAATGCAACTCAAGAAGAAAGGGTTGGATCTGGATACTATCTGTCAGGTTTGTGGGAAAGGTGAGGAATCTTTTAATCATATTTTATTTTTGGCCTAATTGCCGGTAAAAGCACGACCTTACAACTTTTTGCCGTTTTAACCAAACGTTTGGAATTTAGCATAAAAAACCTAACCTTGTCCAATGTTTGCAACCCGAACCCAAAATGAAACGGCCGTCTCATTTTTGCCACCGTGTCTGTTAGCTTTACCTACGTGGCCAAACGTGCTGCTGACGTGGTGAAACCAGTAAAAACCAGTATAAATACACGCATTTTCCCCTAATGACCGATGGTTTTCCATTTTCATGACTTTCAGACTTCGAAATTTTTTTTCTCTCTTTGCAAACATTGTTGTCCCATTGTTGTCGAAGCTCACAATCTTGTCATCGAAACGCACAAATTGCGGTCCCATTGAAGCGATTATGACCGACAGGTATGCCAATCCTTCATTTTTTTAATTTGTTGTCAATTCTGAAATTCAAAGTCGTCGTTCGAATTCGAACTTTGCTGGGAACATTTTGTTTGTTTGTGAATTTTTAATCCAGTGTTAATTTTATATTAAGTAGTGATCCATTTGTTAAGTATGATTGGGAAATGTGACCTAGGGTTTCAAAAGAATGAAAATCTGTTTGTCAATTTAGGGTTTCTCCTCAAATTATGGTTTTATTTTTAAATTAGGGTTTATCAAGATTATGGTTTCGAACAATTTCGAATTGGTTATAGTTTATTGATTGTACATTCATTTTGAAATTAGGGTTTCGAACAATTTCGAATTGCTTATAGTTTTTTGTTATTGTAAATTTATATTTAAATTAGGGTTATGATAGAATTGAGGCTAATTATAAAATTGTTATTGATGTTTTTTCTATGTTTAATTAATTTCAAAGACAAATTTGCATTGATTGTCAATATTGGAGGTTATTTTGTGAACTGTGGACCTATTGTGGAGTATATATGTGGTAGTTTAAAGAGTATTTATGGGTTAGATGCTGATAGATTTGGATACTTTAACCTACAAGAAGAAATTAAGAAGTTGGGAGTTAACAAGTATGAAAAAATTGTGTATAGAATAGTTGGTGCTGGTGTTGGAGCTGATAGTTTGAGAGATGTAACTGATGATAAAGGGGTTATGGTGATTATTAGTTGTGGTAAGAATAAGAAAACTATAGTTCAAATTTATGTGGTTGGTGGTGACATTAATGATGATGAAGAAGATGAGAATGTTGAGGCATCATTTCAGATAAAATCTTCTAGCCATCAAGATACTGATGATAGGGAAGAGGTGAATGGTTTGAGTTAGGCTGAGGCATCATTTCACACACAAGCTAACCAACAAGATATTGATGATAGAGAAGAGGTGAATGGTTTGTCAGGCTGAGGCATCAATTAAGGATGAGCCTGCAGACCAGTTGGAAGATATTAATGATATTATTAGTAACTTCACTTCTGTTGAACATGGTGAAGGTGATGCAGAAACTAATAGTGCATGTGCTGGGTTGGGGTCACAAGAGTCATCTGATGATGAAGATTATTTTCCAACTGGGGTGAGTTCATCAGATGATGACCTGTCTGATGATCATCTTTTTTATGATGATGAGTATGTTCAGGCAAGAAAGAACTTAAAGGAGTCTAAGAAAAAAGTTCAAGATTGGGATGATGATGCAGGCTATACACATCCAATGGCTTGAAGAGGATGAATTGTTACATAATTCACTAATCTCTGATGAGTCAGACAGTGACAGAGAAATGGATTTGGAAGGGAATTTTGTTAAAAAGAGGACAAAGTTATTGTATGATCCCAAGTGTGATCATAATTCACTTGAGTTTCAGCTTGGCATGAGGTTTGAAACCATTGATCAGTGCAAGAGAGCTGTGAGAAGGGTGGCAATTGTGCAAGGTAGAGATATTCTGAATATGAGGTGTAACAAAAGGCAATTGGAAGCTAGATGTCAAGTTGGCTGCCCTTGGAGACTTTATGCCAGTGTGATTGAAAGAGAAGGTAGTGTGGCTATAAAACAACTGCATAAAGAGCATCTGTCATAGGAATGTGCACACTAGACAACTCACTACTCAATGAATTGCTGAAGAGTTTGGTGAAAAATTCAGAAGGAATCCAAACATGACAGTTGCACAATTGGAAGAAGCAATTTCTGAAAAGTTTGAAGTTGTACCTACAAAGTGGAAGCTTTATAGAGCAAAGTGGAAAGCACTTGAAATGCTCAGAGGTTCTGTCATAGAACATTACTCCTTTCTGAGAAGTTATATTGCTGAGTTGATTAAGGTGGATAGAGAGGGCAGGTTTGAGTTCTTACTTGGGGAAAATACCACATTAAGAGGCTTTTATGTGGGTTTTAGTGCTCTAAGAAAGGGATTCATCAATGGCTGCAGACCCATCCTTGGATTTGATGGATGTTTTTTGAAAACTTTCTTAGGAGGAGCCTTGTTATGTGCTATTGCCAAAGATGGTAACAATCAAATTTATCAAGTGGCATGGGCTGTGGTTGAGGCTGAAAATGAAGAGTGTTGGATGTGGTTTCTCTCAATTTTGTTTGCAGAAGTGGGTATAAGGGATGGCTTAGGATATACTTTCATTTCAGACCAACAAAAGGTTAATATTCTGTGCAATTTTGAGTTTTTGTTCTTAATTTCAAACATTAGCATGTTCAAAATAATTTTTTGTTTGTAGGGTTTGTTGAATGCTCTGAGGGACTTAGCCCCAAATGCTGAGCACAGAAATTGTGCTCGAAATGTCTACATGAACTGGAAGAAGCAATTCAAGGGGCAAACTTTGAAAACTTTGTTCTGGAGGATTGTTCTAAGCACTCACCTTGGAGACTACAACATTGCTTTGGAAGACTTGAAGGCAGAAAGCAAAGAAGCTTATGAAGACTTTATCAACAGAGATCCTTCAAAGTTTTGTAAGGCATTTGTCTCTTCTCTTCCTAGGTGTGATATGATAGAAAATAATGTTAGTGAGACTTTCAATGGGTTTATAGTTAAGAGAAGAGGAAGCCACATCATTGAGATACTTGAATTTGTTAGTGATTCCTTCTTCTTTCCGTTAGAAATGAGTTGTAAATTGTCTGACATCAAGTTCAATTTTCTTCACAAAAATTTGATATTATCATCACTTTATTGTATGCAAATAGTGGTAATTCTAGTATTCATACTATCCACAATATTCTCTTTTGGAAATACCACTATAAAATGTGCACTTGTGTTGTCTCATTAAAAACATTATATGAAAAAACCCTGCGGGAAATAAACCGAGATAAAGAAAAAAGAGCACAATCTAAGAGAGAAATTTTTGCTTTTATGAGTGATTGCGTGAGAAACAAAAGCAAGAGTTGGAAAAACAAGTTTCTGAGTGAGACTTATATGGGAGGTTCTTATCAAATATGTTTTGATTGCTCTTTCTATTTATGTGATGTCTTGTTTCAGAATCCTTATTTCTATTGTGCAGTCTATTTGTAAGGAAATTGTTGGTTTCTGGTGACGTAAAAATGATGGGGGGGGGTTGTGTTGAGTGGGGTAAGCTTAGTAAATCCATAGATTCTGGGGGGTTGGGTTTTAAAGACTTGAAAGCTTTCAATGAAGCCTTACTAGTCAAGCAGCTCTGGAGGCTTTTAACCAAGCCTAACCTGCTGGTCAGAAGGGTCCTCAATGGAGAGTACTAAGGAAACTTATGGATGTTCATCCTAAGGGTAGTGACTCTTGGCTTTGGAAAAGTTGGTTGAAGTCTAGAGGTTCTCATAGTTTCGGTGCTAGATTTGGGGCAGGGGATGGGGCTTCAATTAATGTATGGTATTCACCTTGGATCCCAAACATTATCTCTTTTAAATCTCCTTGGTGCTAGATTTGGGGTAGGGGATAGTGCTAGAATTTCCAGAGTAAGTGATTTGATTAAGGTATGAGGGAGAAGAGAGTGGATTTGAGCTATTTTTTTTGACTTTTGAGCCTGATTGCAGATCTCATCATTAATATCCCTCATTCATCTCATGATAATAAGGATAAGTTAATCTGGAGGAAGCTTACAAAACCATCAAGGCTACTCAGTTGAAGGAAAAAGACCAGGCTAGCTTAAGTCAAAATGGTGCTTGTGGTAAAAGGATGTGGAGGAGAACTTGGAAGCTACCCATTAAAGGGAAGATTAGGACTTTTTTATGGAGATGCTGGTTTGAGTTCATTAGCTCCAAAATGCAACTCAAGAAGAAAGGGTTGGATCTGGATACTATCTGTCAGGTTTGTGGGAACGATGAGGAATTTTTTAATCATATTTTATTTTTCTCTAAAAAAGCAAATATCTGTTGGAAGGGATGGGGTTATGGATTTTCAAATATGGTTGTTATCTGTGTGTCTTTCTGGGAGAGAAATTTGTATGGAGGATAGACTATGCTTATGTGCTTACATTATGTGGGGCATCTGGAAAGCAAGGAACAAATGATAATTTAAAGGGGATTGGGTCATGGAAAGGATTTAGTGGATGGTGCTAGAGTTGAATGGTTGAAATGGCTGAACAGAAATGATCCAGGGCTTGCAAATTCTGATAAGGGGTCATTTGAGTCAATTACTAGTGTATATTAGTATCTATTATTATTATTATTATTATTATTATTATTATTATTATTATTATTTAATAGATGTCTTAGAGAAAAAGTTAGGAATTAAATGTTATTATAAGAGATCTTGTCTTGTTGGACAAGTTAGGAATGAAGTTTATGAGCCTTATTTAAAGGACTCCATGTCTATTGTTTTAAAAGTTGATTTTGAATGAAAATATGAATTGATTGTGAGTTTTATTGAGAGAGTATCTCGTTTATCGTTCCACTCGTACGCTTCCCTAAATGAGTTGGTATCAGCAGTCAGTACGATTCGCGATGCCGTCGGGACGACAAGATGCCGCAAACGAACGACGTAACGCAACCTTCAACGATCGGTTTCAACAGATCGACTATCGATTTGAACAGTTGGACGCGCGTTTCACGGATTGGTAGATCTTTCGACGGGGATCTAGGATTTGCTTTTTACGCTTAACAACGTGGTCTGGGATTTGCAGATGAACCATGCCGCCGGCGATCGGGGTGTGCGCAGGGGAGTTCACGGAGGAAGTGGAGGTCGTGGTCCAGGCGGGGCGCCCCGTCGGCGATCTCCACAATCGTCGCCCGGCGATGCAGACGGCAAGGAGACCATATCGGAGGTGGATCCCTCCAGAGAGTGGCCGCCTCCGCCCGTCGAGACTGAGCTCGTTGCTGCGTACGGCGACCAAGATGTGCAGCAACAAAGTGTAATTTTTGAGGAAGATGACGGGCCATTGTACGATGGTCCGCCTATTTTCGATGAGGAGCCTCCGGTGACGGAGACATATCTTTGCAGCAATATGGGTCCCGCGTGGGACGTCGCAGAAATTGAGCCTTTGATGGGGATTCTGTCGTTCAAACCCATTTTTTGGAGTATCTTGGCCAACGATGGTTTTTCGGAGCCTAAGCCGAGGCTCAATAACTGGTGGGCCATTTTCCGATTGTCTATCCCGAAGTCTCTCAACAACGGGATGCTTGGACGTAGTTATGGATGTGAGTACGGTGAACGATGTGGTATGGTTGGTGTTAATTCCGCTGTGTGGGTTATGCATATGGAGGCGTGTACATGTGTCTTTGCAGCAATTCAATCCTTGCCATTGATTTTTTTTACCATCGGGATTGTTGGACAACATTCATCCTTCGTGTTCGACCGGGGGAAATGACGGGGGTTTCTTACCATGAGTACGACACCACACGCCGGCCACGGGAGCGCATCGGCTTCGAGGGCGAAGCCTTCCGAACCGGGGGAGAATGGTGTAGATTAGTATCTATTATTATTATTATTATTGTTATTATTATTATTATTATTATTATTATTATTATTATTTAATAGATGTCTTAGAGAATAAGTTAAGAATTAAATATTATTATAAGAGATCTTGTCTTGTTGGACAAGTTAGGAATAAAGTTTATGAGCCTTATTTAAAGGACTCCATGTTTATTGTTTTAGGAGTTGATTTTAAATTAAAATATGAATTGATTGTGAGTTTTATCGAGAGAGTATCTCGTTTATCGTCTCACTCGTACTCTTCCCTACATCAATTACTGAGGTAGTTAAATTTTCCAGGAGGGGTAGGTCAGTCTTCTTTGATTGTCAGTGCTCTACTTTCTGCTGAAGGGAGAGTCTCCATGACTTGTCTTGCTGAATTAAAGGGTAATTTCGAGCAGCACTGACAGGATACCTCTGAAGGAACTGGAAATCAGTGCCGGGCCTTGTACCTGGCAATTAGATGGAGCTTATTGAACGCCAAGGACTTGGGATGGAAGCCTTTGGTCTGCTATCTCAACAATGAAGAGGTCACTAAGGCCCTGAATAAAAGATTATTGAGTATGACTGCTTGTGCTGAGGTGGAGAAGAAGATTTTGTTTCTCTTGTTGTGGTTTGTAATGTAAAATACCTTATGTTTGTTCCTATTTTTAGCTAAGTTTTCAGGCTTCGATTTAGCCTTTTAGAGGAAGTTTTTTTACTTTTCCGTACCGTCAGTTTCCTTGGCTGTGAAGGTTCTGATTAGTTTACAATCATTTGGGGGGTGATTGTATATGAATCCATCTAGTTTTTATTTGGTTTGTTTTTTTAACTATAGTTAATTTTGAAAAAAAAATAGCAT